CTATCTATCTATCTATCTATCTATCTATCTATCTATCTATCTATCTATCTATCTATCTATCTATCTATCTATCTATCTATCTATCTATCTATCTATCTATCTATCTATCTATCTATCTATCTATCTATCTATCTATCTATCCCACCTTCTGGCATGCTATAATTCAATTATGTCAATTATGTACAATGCCTGCATGCTATTGGTCATACTAATTCAGCAAAATGCAGACATTTTAGACAATTTAGAAATCCTGGCCAGGACATTTCTGGGAAAAACAGGACAAATGGTCACCCTGCCTACATAGGCTGCTCCCTTCTAAGGCATCGTCTTAGTCCAGTTTGTATTGGTACTTTTCTGTAAAAATATAATCGTGTTCATAATTGACATTTCTCTTGTATTATCTGTCATCTCAGATAATTTTTTTCCCCAATGAGCTTGTCGCAATGAGTACATGCAATGCATTTTAATGCTGCGTAATCTTTAAGCATTTAAGACTAAAGCCAATAACTGTACCTACTACAACCAATACAATTTCAGTCCAATGAGGATTTGTTAATAAATTGCCTCATAAAATCTTTATTGCACATTTTGGCAATTTACACCAAACTTTCAAGAGAAAGATGAAGAAAAAAACACATCTCTGTCTCTGAGAGTTATGTATATATTATTATATTTATGCACGTCATACTCTGTGTTTGAAACAGTGTTTTTTTTGTATCATTAAGACTATTATCATTTTTATTAATATTTCTATTTTATTTTAGTTATTTTTAGTATTTTTTGTGTTTTTGTCATTTTTTGTTTTTTTATTATGTCTATATAGTTTTTATTCATGTTCATTTTAGTTTGATTTATTTTAGTACATTGTTGAACTAAATGAATATGATTTATATTTTTCTTTTATTTTGTATATTTTATTTCAGTAATGGAATAATGTTTTTAGTGTTTTTTTTAGTTCATTATTATAACTATTGTTTGTTGGATTGAGTCACAGAGCAACTATGATTTGATGCTTCACACATTAACTGATTTCACCATGTATAACATTCCATCATCTTAATTTGGGCCGTGGTAAATGTGATGATTCATTATATGGTTTATTACCCATACAGCTGCTTAACCTCGTGAGAGCAGAGGGCCAATTAGAGATCTCTGTGCCATATGTCTGCTGAATTGTTTGCATTTGGGTGTTTGTGTTTGTACTTTGTGTGTGTTAAATAGGTTTTCCCACAGATACCAAAAAAATGTGTTGCCCATTGTGAGACTTTTAATTTGATAGTAATGCAAAACCAACAGCTCCAGGGCATCCCCATGATGTCATACCTCTGGAGAGCACGTCCCCAGCCAAGATCCTCCACATACCAGAACGCTGATCCACTGGGGTCACATTGAAACATTCAAAGCTTAAAACTTAGCTTAAAGGCTTTTTTTAAAGAAAAATATGGACTCTGTCATTATGTACCACATAATTATAGGCACATTCAAATCGTAATAAGATGAAAGCCATCCCTGGCATATTAAAAATTCAATCTTCTGACTTGTTTCCACATTTTCTCACAGGGTTAGGTCTTTTGCACATTAAAGATATTACATTTACATTTAGTCATTTTGCATTTTACAATTGGGGAATACATAAAGCAGTTCTTCTTAAAGGGGCAAACAGACAAAGGAAGTGCATGTAATACCAAGTTTTAGGCATTGTTCAAATAAGTACAAGCTAGAAAGGGAAGGAATAAATAAAGAGAAAGACAAACTATTATTATTATTATTTTTTTTAATTTAAGATGAAGTCAAGTAGCGTTCTGCATTCTGAATCATTTGTAGAGGTTTGATTGTGCTTGATGGAAGTCGAGCCAGAAGAGCATTGTAGTAGTCCAGCCTAGAAATGACATGGGCCTGGACAAGTAGTTGTGCAGCATGCTACGTTAGAAAGGGCCTGATCTTTCTGATGTTGTGCAATGCAAACCTGCAAGATCG